TTTTTGTTACCAATATATTTCTGTGTGATTTGCTTGAAGTCAAAGATTAAATTTTTTTAAAAAATAAGTTTTAGATATACTAAATGGATAAAAATTATATTTTTTAATTATATAAATGTAAGAATATAATATTTTGACATGTAAACCCTAAACATAAAACTATTAGTAGAGATTAGAAAGTAGTCAATTAAGCAGAGATGAAATAAAAGTATAATTAATAATTATGTCTTGCTTGGTATTTTTATAAAACATTATATGCGTATGCTAGGTTGGGTATGAAATAAAAGTATAATTAATAATTATGTCTTGCTTGGTATTTTTATGAAGAATTATATGCGTATGCTAGGTTGGATATTTTTTAAATTGAAATTTATGTTTTTAATATTTTTATGATTTTTTATAAATGTATTTATATGTATCGAAAATATATTGTATCTTATATTTTTAAAAATAAAAGTATTAACGTATTGAATATTTGTACCAGTATTTGTGTAATATAGATTACTATCACATAATGCAAATAGCAACGGGTTTGATTATGATTACCCAGCAAAAAAAAAAAGGAGGGTATAAAAAAGGACGTCTGAGCATTGGTGGTGGGTGAAACACGGCAGTAGCATGTGAGGCCAACCTCCAAGTAAGCCACTTGGGTTAGAAATTTGCATATCATTTGTTCAGTGGATGCTGAGGGACCCTACCTCCACTCGAGAGTTCAGACTTGGTACGTTTGGAGGTTTAAAATTAAATGAAAATGAATAGTAATTATGGTTTTACATGATAATTGTTTAAAAGTTATTATAAAATGAATGGAATGAAATGAATTAAATTTTTTTTAATATTGCTCATATGATTAAAATTAAAGAAAATAATAATGTTCATTAAATAATTATAATATTTATCCAACAGAAAATAATAATAATAATTAAAATTATATTAACAGTCAAACAAGATATCCAAAAATTAAGAATAAAAAGAAAAAACAAATAACAAAACTACTCAAGCAAACATATCTATTACACAAAAAAAAAAAAAAAACACAGCAGTGTCATAGTATTGAGAGGGGGAAGAGAGATGGCAAGAGCGGTGTGAAGTAAGAAAGATGATTAGATAATGAAAATAACATGAAATTTGTCATTAAGGTAGGAGGTTGGGGGTAACTTTGCCAATGAAATAATTATATTATGTCATTTCATCCTTGACCCTCCAATTTAAGGAGATAAAAAAAAATTTGTTGTGGATGACAAAGGTGAACTTTAGAAGTCCTTTCTTGCCATTCCATCTCTCTTTAAAAAAAATACTTACAAACAATGGTTTAAGCTTTTTTAGCAATCTCACTCCACTCCACTCCATATTAAAAAAAAAAAGAAAAATGACAATCAAATCCCAAAAGATCAATTTTATACCAGTTAAGTCCCAAGTAATTCTAAAAGGCCAATAAAGTCCCATGCTGTTTTTTACAAATTAGAGTTCTGATAGAAATGATGAAAATGCCCCTATAATTATTGACTCAAGGAAGCTTTATTCTCTGTTGAGTTTGTTTGGCTGGTGCGTTTAGACATGTTTTTTTTTTTTGCAAATCCCTGCATCTGAACAAAAAAGTTGACTCCATTAAGGTTCGATTTCTTGCAAAACAGCTCTCGTAAGGAAGAAGATGGAATGCTTTTTTGCAACTAAACATGAAAGATTTTTTTTATTTCACGTCTCTAAAAATTTGGCATGAAGATTCGACATTTTGCAACTGAAAATGTGAGAATTTATCATCAAGTGTCCATATTTTAAGATGGAACGTTGTCACTGTCTCACTGATGCAAAAATCACTTATGTCAAAAGTAACTTGTTTTTAAGTGATATATTATTACATTTTATTTTGTTTATTGTAGGTTGATATTATTGGGTATGATGGAAAAAAGTTATTTAAAGGAAATTTTTTGTTATTTTCATTTTGGTGGAGATATTATAAAAGATATGTATAGGAAAATGCATTATAATGGGGGGAGTTATAATGGGAGAATGATTAGAGAAGGAATGTCTCTTGAAGGACTTGTTAGGTTGATTTCATCATGTTTGAATTGTGATCTAAATGGAATAGAGTTGAAGTACACAATAAAGTTTGATTGTAATGCTCTTTTAAACCTTAAAGATGATGAAGGGATAAATCAATTAATGAAATTGAATGATAATTTTGCTCATGTGTACATCATTGGAAAGATACAGCAAAGTACAGAGGCAACAAGAGATTCAATTGATGGGTAAGTTTTTTTTAATAATTGTATGATTAATATTATGCTAATATGAATATGAATAGTAGTAATAAACATGATTTGAATGGAAATGCAGAGCAAGATGTTCAGTTGGGAATTCACATGCTATACAAGATCTTGAAGTTCTACCATGTGCAATACAAAGTATCCCAATACCAATGTCTGAGTTAAATGCAACAAAGTGGAAGGAAAAAATATATAGTGGCACTATGCATACTGTTGAGACCTATGACATGCCAAAGCCAAATGTGTTGACAGTGTTTGAGCTCATGAATCAAACCTTTTTGCTGCCTCCTAGAACATCTTGACCAGCTGGCAAACCTTGTCATGTGAGGATCGAGTCTCAACATCAACAAAAGAAGCTTTATCATTATTCTCGCTGCCATAAAGCAGGTCATACACGGAAGAGGTGTAGAAATCCAAATCCAAGTTGATGTTACTGTAAATGGGTTACCACATGAACTTGGATTTGGGTGACATACACATATGAGTAGTTTTAGGGGTTTTTTTTTGCATATAGCAGCCCTTTTTTTGTAAATTCAAGTTGATATTTCTATAATATGAAATTAGATCAACTTAAATTTGGTTGACATATATAGATTTATGTAGATATATATTGGTATTATTATGGGATTTTTTTGGTACATACCAACCCCTCGTTTGTAAATCTAAGTTCATGCTTTTGTGTATGTGGACAGCTAATATGTGCAGATGCATTAGATGAATTAATACATGTTTCTTATGTGTACAGTTCATATCTTCTGTGATCACTAAAAGGGTGTCATTTTAAAATTTCAATCAGAGGTAGGAAATTATTCGTAAGGAAGTTACAAAATTTGGTATGTCAGTTGTAAATTACTGGAGCCATGTCCAAAAATAATTTGGTAAGTTTGCAAGTTCAAGAATTAAATAGTTTTTCGATTCAAAATTTCATGTACGAGTTGTAAATTATTCCCAATGAAGTTGCAAAATTTGGTGTCTCAGTTGCAAAATACTGGAACGTTGTCTTAAAAGAATAACTCTTGTAGAAATCTAATAGTTCTTCGATTCAAAATTTTGAATAGCAGTTGCAAATTATTCCTAAGGAAGTTGAAAAACTTGGTGTCTCAATTGCAAATTATTGGAACATTATCCTAAAAGAATAACTCTTGTAAGAATTTAATAGTTATTCGATCCAAAATATCGAGTACCAGCTGCAAATGCTTCCTAAGGAAGTTGCAAAATTTGGTGTCTTAGTTGCAAATTACTGGAATGTTGTCCTAAAAAATTTAACTTTTCTACAAATTTAATAGTTTTTTAATCTAAAATTTCGAGTACCAATTACAAATTATTCCTAAGAAAGTTGCAAAATTGGGTGTTTCGGTTGCAAATTAGTGGAATATTGTCCTAAAAGAATAACTCTTGTAGGAATTTAATAGTTCTTCAATCCAAAATTTTGTGTACGAGTTGTAAATTATTCCTAAAGAAGTTGCAAAATTTAATGTCTCAGTTGCAAATTACTAGAGCCATATCGTAAAAGATTTAACTCTTGTAGGAATTTAATAGTTCTTTGATCCAAAATTTTAAGTGCCAGTTGCAAAATTTTCCTAACGAAGTTGCAAAATTTGATGTCTCAGTTGCAAATTACTGAAACTTTGTCCTAGAATAATAACTTTTTTAAGAAATTCAATAGTTACCCCACCCAAAATTTTGACAAACATTTGCGACATTGGCTATATATAATTGATTTGGTTGCTTGTTCAACTTGCTTGATAGTTACAAAAAGTGTTTTATATCACTCACTTGTCCTAAAATAATAATGAAATTAAAAAATTCCATGATTCATTTGTTACATTAAATTGGATCACCATATGATTAAAGTAATATAAGTAGCAGCTCAGCTGTTTCAATTGGCAGGAAATACACGTTATATAGATAATTTTCACCACTCGCATTGAATCATTGGCTTCTATAAGACCACTAAATTTTCTTTCATTTTTTTTAGAAACTCTTGAAGTTGTCGTATCCAAACTTCTTTTTTGTTGTAGCTTTCTTGTTCATAATTTTTTGGTGTCTCAGTTGCAAATTACTTTTTTTTGGTCTGCAACAAAAGCAAAGAAAACAGATTCAGCCAAATGTTACACCCAAAAACACACTACATATAAATACACTGTTATGGAATAGTGAACATGCAGGGTGGCAACTTTTATTAGATTAATTAAAATTTTGGCAAATATGAAGAAGGAGAAAAGGGATAGCATAAATTGCAAGTAGTTTATCACACCTGATGCTGCATCCAGAGTTAGACGCATGCTCAATTTTAACAGACTAATAGTGGTCATTTTTGAAAACATCAGGCCACTGTGATTACCAAAGGTACCTTTTGAAAATTTATGCTTAAGAAAGAAATCATCTTGGTTTCTCTAGAATCTATTTGCAATCCAATCCATTAATGACCTAAATTCAGTTTTTTGACTTCTAAGAGTACTTGAAGGTCACCATTCATAAGGTGATATGCAATAAAAATCCTCAATACTAACACTCCCACCATTCATAAGGTCATGATTAGACTAGAGGATTCAAGGGTTTTAAAACTTGCAGTTCAGTTACTTATCACTGAGTTTTGTTCTTTTCTATAACATCAATAGTATTGCCAGTTTAGTTGGCATTGGCAGTAAATTTAATATAAGTAACAATTTTGTGACCTGAATAGCAACGAGATATGGTAACATAATTTTTATCTCCTTTATTTCTGGTGTAAAAGCTCTACCTCTCTTGTCTACCTACACAGCATCTAAAGATATTTTTGCTATCCCTCACCAAACTTAACTATAATATATATATCAAGGTAAGCTTGAGAAAATTGACACAGAAAGTTGAGAAATATCCATATTTCAAAAAACAAAGCAGTGTATCTGATCATTTATGTTAGGTATGATATAATACTTCAAGCTAGCTTCAAACACTATATGTCTTAAATTAATGCGCTATCTACATCATGTTATGCTTCAAACTCATAGCTTATGTATCATAAATCAAAAGCAAAGGTAACTAATCTACATAGTTTCATTCTGGGGTTATGAACGAAGTCACAAAGAACTTGGCAATGGAATGGGCAAAAGATAACATTAGTGCAAATGCAGTAGCACCAAGACCTATGATGACTTCAATTTCGAAATCTAACATGGTATAAATATGTGCCTAATTACTTTCATTTCCTTGATGTTTTTTATATTCTATAGCTCTCTTGAAATTATTCATATAGAAAATACAAGATACACTTAACAAGAACCCAACTGCTTGTCTTATGTGCTTCAGCTCATCCCAAGATGATCCAGCATGCTGCAAAATCTAAGGCAATTACTTGGAAATCAGAGCCATGAGCCACCATGGAGATCCATAAACCAGTCCAAAAGCAACACTTAGCAACTATAGGGCATCACATCACTTTGTAATAGCCCAACTAAACAATATAAAACAAGACCTAATAGCATAAGCAAGCAGCAAAGAATAGTATTATGTATGTTATTCATTGTGCAAATCTACATATTGTCATGTGTTTTGTGTATCAATGTAAAACACATCAAATTGCATAACAAGTGGAGATGAAGAGCACAAGTCTAGTCAGCACAAAATTCAACTGTTGGCAAAAATACTGGTGATGTTAACAAAGGTTTGAGGTAACATTAGCAAAATGCAAGGGAGAGGTGATAGTGGTGGCGGCGGCAGCCGTGACAGTGGTTTGCTTGTAAGTATGGTGTTTGTGGCTACAACAGCAGTGGTGGATAAAAAAATGGCGATGAAAACAAAGATGGTATCAACAATGACAGTTGGTGATTATGGAAACAGAGTATAATGATATATTAACAAATGGAAACAAAAATTTAGTTTTTATATTGAAAACTTTATATAGTTCTTATCAGGACTTGCCCCGCATCTCTGGTATATAATGTTATATAGTGATAGCCATATAATGGTGACAGCCATATAAAAATTATGCAGGCAGAATCGATAAAGACAACAAAGCAAATGCACTAGAAATTATGCGGGTAGAATCGATAAAAAAAAATATAATTGGGAGGAATAGCACACAAAATGATAGATGCAAAATCTCTTCCCTAAACAATAAAGATGAGAAGCACTAGCTCGTAATATCCAGCTGAACATATAGACTTACAGCAGAGAGAAGACAAAGAAGAGACGAACAGCTTCCCTATTCACTTGATCGCTGGTGTTTGTCGCTAGCGGTTATGGCAAAGAAGAGATCAACAGCTTTCCTCTACTCGATTGCAAGTGATCGCTTAAGGCATAAAAGAGAACGATCGCCGGTGTATGTTGTTGACGGTAGGGCAGGGAAGGAATGGACATCTCTTCTCTACTCAGTTGCAAGAGATCTCTAGGGCAGAGAAAAGAACGACCAAGCTCAAATTCATTGGCTAAATAAGGGTATTTTCGTCCTTTTTCATTATATCAAAATACCACTTAAGAACTTAGAACTTCATTGGCCTTTTAGAATTACTTGAGACTTAACTAGTATAAAATTGATCTTTTAAAACTTGATTGTCATTTTTTCAAAAAAAAAAATCTCCCAAACATAGGGTAAAATTCTGAATTGCAGGGTCAAGGAAGAATGATGCCATGCCATCTGCGCAATTCAGCGTCCTCAGTGTGAATACCCTTAAAATCTCAGTGGCACGCATAAAAATATAAAGGAAACAACGTTTAAGGACTAAATGATTGAATTAATCTTATTTAGATACAAAAATTTGAAGATCCAAAATAAGTATCAGGGGTTCTTTGCTTCTCTCTTTAGTGATTTGACTCAAACAATAAATCTACTAGCATGTTTTTCAAGTGAAACGATGAATCTCACTCGTAAATTAATAGTTACAAAGTCGCAAATTAAAAAATGAGTACCGAACCAGGAGAATTCATGGTATTTTGAAAAGTTAAAATTTTCCTCCTCTTATATAAATAAATAAATAAATCTCACTTACAAATTAGTGACCACAAATTTACAAATCAAGGGGTAAAAGTATCAAATCATGGAAAAGACTTTTGATACTGATTCTTTATTCTCAAATCTTTTAGTTCTGATATTAAATTAAGTGAGAATAACAACTAAACCTTCTCATAATATTAGTATTAAATCAAATTTTTGTAAAGATCCTCAAGTGCTGAAGTATAGAAGAATAGATATTGAATTTGAAAGCTAAGTTATGATAAAATTTTGATTTGACATTAATTTTTTATGAGATCTTTAATTATCATTGTCTCTTAAATTAATCCAATCTTATGGTCCTCAAATGTCGTTCTCCAAAAATAGAACTTGTTTCTCCTCTTTGGCGGACTCAGCAAATTTGTTCAGTTGTCTTGAGTTGAAAATTTTTTTGATATCATAAATAAGAGTGCCATTATTTATAAAGCTAAGTGCAAGATGATGATGAATCGATGACCACGATGACATTGCAACCGCCGCTGGAACAAAAACTCCATGCCCTTGAGGCCATGGAATAAGAGACATGATCTGAGATATGTCCTGTTTTGTTATGATTGGTGCGAAAACCAATCAACTGCAAATTTCTGTATCCATTTTAGTCTCTTCATGTAGAAAGGGGGTGGAAGCGACAAACATGAAAAAGGTCTTCTCTCCATTATCAATTATAAAACAATGTTGGGAAAAAAAAAATTTATTCCAAAATATAAAACAATTTTAAAAAAAATTAAAGTTTCATTATCAATATTAAAATTTACCCTTCAAGTAAAGAAAGAATTAAAATAATATTGCAATATAATGATTAATTATGTAAAAACATTTTTAAAAATTTATAAAATGTTATTTATTGTATTGTATTGGTATGCATAATTTTATTTTAAATTATTTTATAATTTGAGAAAAAGGAAGTAAATCTTTTTGTCGCTCAATCTAGGGCTATGAAGGCAGTGTGTAGTCAATCAATGATATTTATTTGAATACAAAATCTTTAAAAATATCCACGCATATGATGCAACTCTATTTTAAAGAAATTATACAAAAATATTTTCTATAATGGAAAATAGATTCAAATATTCAGCGAAGAAACGCGAATCATAAATTAATTAAAAAGTATATTTTCTTGTAAATGTACACGAAGAGCCGCACTCAAGTTGAAATGAAAGGAAAGGCCAGTGAGGTTTCCAAATAACAACGGGCTCATGGATGAGGCGCAATTGAGTTCATATAAAATAATAAAATAAACCAATAAAAATTGATCTAATTGGTAAAAGCTAAATTTATATCTCACAAGTTAGAAAGGATTTGAACCATCTGGGAGAATTTGAACCAGCTGTGTGGTGCTCTAATTCGAAACCATCTGGGAGAATTTGTCTTGGGCTTCATATACAGAATGGAGGAAGGAGATAGTCTCTAGGCAAAGGTTTGAGCATCCTTACATGGCTTGAAGATGGCATGGGATAATGGAAATAGAAAGGTTATTATAGAGACAGATTCCACCGATGTGTTGGCTCTTATTCGAGGAAATATTAATATGGAGCATCAAGAACACGCTGCTATTATGGAGAAAAAACGATTGCTGTCCAGAGAGTGGGTAGTCCAAGTCAGCCACGTAGCACATGAATGCAACCAAACAGCTGACTGGCTTGCAAAGAAGGGCTTCTCTGCCCCATCTAGTTTTCATGCTGTTCATCATTTACCTGTTGATCTTGCTACGATTATTGATAGGGATAAAGGCCATAGGCCTTCTATGTTCACCAGAATATAACTTTCTGGTTTTCCTTGTTTATCAAAAAAAAAGAAAAAAAGAAAGGATTTGAACCCGGTGCCAATGCCAGGCTTCTTCTTGTTTCTTTTCTTTTTTTTTTTTTGGGGACAAAGCCAACGTCGGGATGCCTTTTTTGGGTAAGCAATGCCAGGACATTGTTTGTGAACAATTTGTAAATATTTTTTAAGAAGTGCTCATTGAATTGTGAAACATATCTCAACCCTGTCAGCCTATCCAATACCCAGATTAATTAAACTTTTTTCTTCGAAAAAAGGAAAAAGGATAGTGACTCAACATGGCCCGTATCAGTTCTTTTTTCGGCGTCAATTGAAAGCAAGATTTACTCTTTAATTTCAGATGTTTATCTACATATATCATTTTCAGTGACTCGACTGACTTCACAACTCAACGACAAAAAGTGAATAACAAGTTACAATTTTATACCCAAAAAAAAAAAAATGAAATCATTTTAACGGTGCAGTTGGTATGGAGGATTTTGAAGGATGGAGAGGGAGGGAGAAAGGAAGACTAAAATCATGGGTTTGGTGTGTTGCAAGGTTGTTTCCTGGAAGGCAGTTTTCCATCGAAATGATGGAATTTTCTCTCACACCACTCCTCTTAGGGAATTTTCATGCCTTCCTGGGAAGCCTTTTTTTAAGACCAAAATACCCTCCATCATTTCTCAAATTTCCAGATGAAAACCAACCATGAAAAGAAAGTAAATAGACGCCTGTTCTTTTACCAAGAGAAATCGTTACATACCAGGGTCATTGAACACTAACAGAGGAAACAGAAACCAAACGCTTGAGCACATAGTTGCCAAGTACACTCAACTTGTTGCAACCCAAATATAGTTGTCCCTATGCCTGCAATCCAGGGGGAAAATTAGTAAAACCTACTCGTAAATTTAGTCAAGCAGCATTTTAAAATGCTGAATCTATCGCAATAGTCAAGTCAGTACAGTTATGAAGTAACAACCTTGTTTGCAATGTTGTTTGATAGCCAGTCAAGTCCTTCATAAAGCCCCTCACCGGATGGGGCACACGTGCTCTGGATATACCTGTTCATGTACAGAGCACGACGATGAGAATTGGCAGAGAGGGAGGGTGCAGGGATACAATAAATTAAGAGGATACTATTAGCAAAATTTAAGTTTTAACAGTGACGCTGACGGAGAGAATGAAGACCAAGCTTATCAGTTATCTCAGCAGCATTCATAGCATTTGGAAGATCTTGCTTGTTTGCAAAAACTAGTAGCACAGCATCCCTCAACTCATCCTGCCAGGGAAAGAATATGATCATCCAAAAAGGATTGAAGATTATAGCTAGGGACCTGAATCATCTGAAATAAGCCACGGCTTACATTCAATCGTTATAAAAGTTTTGTATTACCTCATTCAACATCCTGTGCAGCTCATCTCTAGCTTCAGCTACACGGTCCCTATCATTGCTGTCAACCACAAAGATGAGTCCTTGTGTATTTTGAAAGTAATGTCTCCACAAAGGACGAATCTAGAGGGGAAAACATGCTAATGATCACTACAATATTGATTATAATTAAATCCAAACATAATTCAAGAAATAACATAACAAGAGGTTAGGTAAAATGATTTGTGGCAAACAAATCTAAATGCAGTCAAAAACTCCATATCTACTCATGAGTACGTGATTCGATGATAAAGCCAAATTTTTAACAGACTGAATAAATCCATAGGCAGGACAAAAAATGGGAGTACTGAATAGTACTGAATGCTGTGAACCAGCAAATATAGGTGATGCAGGAAAAATGTACCTTATCCTGGCCACCCACATCCCACACAGTGAAGCTAATGTTTTTATATTCCACAGTTTCCGCGTTAAACCCTACAACAAATGATATATTAGTACAGCTTGCCACAGATAATTGTAAATGATTCCATTAGCACCGCTACGATAGTACGGTGATATTTGAGAGACATGCGGTAACTTAAAACATTAACCACATTAACCATGGCGCCGATCCCAGAGAACGTCACAAACAGCTGGAGATAAATTATGATCGTTTCTTTTGTCATTTATAACAGTAAAATTGTAGAAATGATTCGTCAGTCAATGAAACTGACCGATGGTGGGGATAGTGGTGACAATCTCTCCGAGCTTGAGCTTGTACAAAATGGTGGTCTTACCCGCAGCATCGAGGCCCACCATGAGGATACGCATCTCTTTCTTGGCAAACAGCCGGCTGAATAACTTGGCGAAAGACAGCCCCATTTTCAAGTATTCTGCATCCAAATTTTAGCATCATGACAGTGATACATTTAAACCGAATTTTAATGGTATCAAATGCATGTAATATCATTCTTTTTCTTCCCGAGAGAACGAAATGGATTTTTATTTTTATTTTTTTGGAGGGGGGAGTATGAAGAAGAGCAATGCCATCTGCAATGGCGCCAACTCGATGGGAAACAGGAAATGAAAGGCAAGTATCATGTGCATCAACAGAGTTACAGAATCGTGGTTTAAAATTCAAATTGCGATCTCGCAGCACGCGATGCAGATCAAGAAAAGACAGGGCAAAATCGTAAAGTAATCTTTCAATCAGAGAAAATGCGGCATTTTGTACAGAAAAAAGAGACCGAACAGGGAAGGAAGAAAAAGACGGAGGCACGATTGAAATAGAGAAGAGAAGCATACGGGAGATCTGACCTTGAAGAAGGGAGAGAATTGAGCAAAAGGTCCTAAAAATAGATAAGGAGCTACCTTTTATGGCACCGGCCAGGCGGCTTTTGCTTGCTCATGCATCCGGAGACGAGTACTTAGACGTGATAACGCTGTTAATTTGAAATTACGAGTTTGCTTTTTGTGCCGCCGTGTGTTTGTTTTGCTTTGCTTTGTTTTGTTTTTGTTTTTTTTTTTCCGGCCTGCTGTTATCACACGGGCAAATTAGCCGATTACCATAAAACTTCTTTATTTTCTTGAGCGATGGGTTTTTGTGCTCAAAAATTCAGCATAAGATCGATATGTTTTTGAATGTTTTCGATGTTTGCTATTTCTATTAGAATAAAGGTACACTTTTGCCCGTAATTTTCAGAATTTAATGGTTGGAGGAGCCAGCTTGAAGAGAACGTAAAGAATGGGGGGTCAAATTTAATTTAGACTATTTTACACATTAAAAAAATAATATTGAAATCATGCATGGGGCAAGCGCCCCTCTTTTTGGATTATCACTCCTCAAATATTTTGAGCAACTTTCAATATTATAAAGAATTAAAAATTAAAAATATTTTTAAAGTGCACATAAAATGTCACAAATAATTTTAAACTTAACTATAAATTATTTATATTTTTTAACTTCAAAAAACGGTTGCCCCATTACCTTGGTGTTAACTTACTGTTATGTGGATACCGTATATAAATTTTTTTAATATTTTTTATTATAAAATATTGCTTATGGGTCTCGCATTAATTTTTTAATGGGTTAAGGGTCAATTTTATTTCTGAAATGTACATAAAATGTTACAAATGACATCAAACTCTAACTCGAGGCTTGTTGAGATCGGGTGATATTTTGTAATGTAAAGCTAGTCTCTAGGCACTATGTTTCCCATTTTTCATTTAGGATTTTGCTCTCAATGAGCGCATGCTACCTCTCTAACCATAGATCGAGTTCTAGGTGCATGTTGCTCTCAACTGAGGAGCTTCTACACAAGGACTGAGCTTGTTAGATGACACACGATCTTAATTCAAATGACTAAAGAAGAGAACAGGAGAGAGGAGGGAGGGGAGAGAGAAAGAGAAAAAATATTAAAAAATAATTGATGGGACCCACTTAAATATTTTATAATAAAAATATTGAAAAATTTTAAAATAGGCCCCATTAATAAAGAAAATAAATGGAGAAAACAATAGGGTGATAACTTTAAAAATCTTAACGATTGAGGGATAAAATTAATCTCAAGTTGAGTTTAGGTTCATTTGTGACCTTTCATGTATGCTTCAAGGATAAAATTGACTCTTAACCCATTAAAAAAAATAATGTGGAGCCCACAAACAATATTTTATAAAAAAAATTAAAAAATTCATATGCGGGACCCGCATAATGGTAAGTTAATGCCAACATAACGAAGCAATAATTTTTTAAAATTGAGAGCTATAAATGATCCATAATTAAAGTTATGGTCATTTGTGACCCTTCATTTGCACTTCAGGAATTTTTTACCCTTAACCTTATTATAAAATATTGATTAAAATAATTTTATTCTTAAAGCAACGAAAATGAAACATTTTTACCCTTTTTATTAAATTTCCTAACTGTCTAGCATTGAAGTTCTAGTTTATATTTTTAATGGTCAATGTTGGAATTTGATAACAAGGACAAAAATGTTCTGTTTTGATTACTTTAATGGCAAAAATGTTTCAACCTCCTTATAGAATACTTCATAAGCAAAAATAAATCTTTACCCTTTCTATTAATTAGATTAATTTAATTTAATCATACTCTAATCCTTAATATAGTGCTTCTGTAATCTTAAATATAAGACAATTTATAAAAGTTAACAGTATTCGATTGTTCCTTTTCATAAATTTTCTCATTAATCATGTATTTATGCTGCAGAGAAAGATGATATAAAAAATTAAAATAGATTGATGTTAATTGCTCGGTATTTTTAAAAGGTAGTTATAATTTTTCTAATTTTAATAGTATAAATTATATAGTTACTTTTCTTGATTTATATGAAGCAGTTAAAAGTATGTTATATTAAGGATTGAATGGAGTATATTAGATTTACTGTGAGTTATATTTATATTGTTTATCACATAAATATAGCATGGTCTATTATACAGTATTTTATTTTATATTAATATTAAGTATATTAACTTCAAATATACAACCAAATGAAATATTGATTCTATTTCTATATAGGCAATCTGTATGTAGAGTACACAATACCTCCTCCTAAAAATGACATAAAAATTAATAGAATTTTTGGGAGAGAAGAATTAAGTGAAAGTGATTTTTATAAGAGGGAACATGCCAGAATTAAACACTATCCTTTCATTCATACGAAAAGAAAAATAAAAAGGAAGGAAAACTCAAAAAAAAAAAAACTCTTAAAAATAGTATAAAAAAATTACTTTTGGAAATTTCTCTTCCTAGTTTTCTTCCCTCCCATTTTCTCCCTATTTTTCTCCCATCCAAACCAAGCCTACAACCCGAAAAAGATTATAGCACCAAAGAAGAGAAGACATGCACGAGCAGGTTAACGGCGCATTTGGAACTAAGATATATATCTTCTAGGAAAAAAATTATATTTCATCAAGAAATAAACTCCATCAACGGATTAGCCGCCCAAGAAAAAGATCCAGCAAGGCACAAAAAAAAAAAATATAACCCAACACGAGGAGCTAATAACAACGACACCTAATAATCGTCACAAATTTATTCACCATTAACAAGAAGTCAATTAGATTGTCAACAACGTGTTCATCTTTGAAACCACAATACACCAAAAAGAAGACAGGTTACATTGCGAAGTTGAAAGCGGGCGAAGTTGAAGATGCCACACAGTCCCCCGTTCCATCGACAAATCATACAACGGAAAACAAGTCGGCTCGCCCGCCAGACATCTTCTCAGCCTTTTCCCCACGCTCACCTGAAAGTTCGAATTTAGAAACCCCAGTACCAATGCTGACTTCACAAATTATAACTTGGATTTTGACAATTTCAGCACTAAAAATGTTACCTGTTCGAACTCTCACGACATCCGCCACAGGTATCACTGAACAATCAAAGCTTCTATTAGAACTATGATCACAGCTCCAGGCCACAAAAATTGAAGTCACTTGCTGAATTCTAAGACTTCTTTTTAATTATTTCTTCATATTCAGCTTCCATTCACAGCAAACGCGCATCAAGCTAGCTAGCTTAAATTTTGAATATCCTCATAGTTCTGAGCTTACCAAGCTTCCAAGTATTCTCCCCCCCCCCCCGGGGGTCAAACAAGCTTGTAAGTATACTACTTGTGCAGATTTGACGCAAAATGATGAGGAACTCATAATGCAGACGACCGAGAAAGCAATATCCTAGCAACGGGTTCCCATTTAATACTTAAACCACAAGCTTCTTCTGATTTATCTTGCTTACCAACAAGCTTGAACATATGACATTAATCTTACTAATTCTACACTGATGAGTACGGTTACCAGCGAAAGATGAGTATATATTAGTGTCATGGCGCAATTCATTACCAAAGCTCTGCCAAAAGATCTGACAGGTATTTTCTGTCACGAGTATTCATAGCACGCGGTGATGTTAAATTACATAGTCATTATTATTTTTACTTTTAACATTGGAAAATATTTTCAGTTATTTATGGCTGGCAGAAGAATCTGCAGTTGATTTACCAAAAGTGTACCAAACCAAATGTTGAGCACGTGAGCCATCTATATATCTAATAAATTTATATGCCAAATGTTCGTACCTTTTATAATATTTTAGAAAGTAGTTTTGTCTCATAAGTTGGAAAATTGATTTTGCATCGTGTTACAAATCATAGCCGTAGAGTGATAGCTTGATAAGCAGATAGACATAACTAACCAAAACAATAGATCAAGCCGCAGTTGAGCAAATTGTACAATTTGCTTCCAAATAAAGTGACTTGAAGCCTGAGGATTGGAAGGGAAAAGGGTAAATTGGAAGCCTTACGGAATATTTTGCCATCACCGATCTCCCCGGTCCTTGCCACCTCAATAATCTTGTCTATTACAGCTTCGACCTACAGAAAATGTATGGTATCTAGTGAAGCCATGAACGGTAGATAAACTTTGCGAATAAATTGCAATCTTCTGACATCCCAAAATTATTTCTCAGTGAAAAAATCCAACTTCAAAAAAGTCTGAGACCATTCATTAAAACTTCTACCACCATTTGCCATCACAATTTTCCCCCTGCGAGGCACACACTCAACCTTTGAAAAGCCACGTGGGAACTTTTCCATTTTGCCTCAGTCTTCAAAAATTAATCATTTTTGACAAGAGACATGCTTGATCAACCAAAGTACACAATGCTACCTCCATACGTACCTGGTCCTTGCTCACCACTATTTCCATCTTAACCTTGGCAACAAAATTGTCCTCATAAAATTCAGAGCCTGTGGCAAAATGAACAAAACATTAAAAAAGAATAATATATAGATGAGCAGTAAGCATATAAACATGCATCTAACCACAGATAAAATACTGCAAGTGAAGGTGATTGTTGGCAGATTAATTAAAATTAAAGAGGGGTGTGTGAGTGAGTGTGTTTTTGTTGCAAGGTACAAGAGGAGCTAGAGTTAAAACAATTAAACCATCAGAAACTGTTTGACATTTTAACTTGATTAATCTAATCAATAATGCTGAAGGGATTGCAGTAATGTAAGAGATGTATCTTCATTTCCAGTCAGACTTGATCTTACCTCCCTGCCTCTCTTTTGAACCACCTTGAGCGCCAAATCCCTTGACATCAGATACTGTGACGCCACGGATTCCCATTTCCAACAAAGCCTTCAAGTTAAGAAAAATAAAAGTATTGATAACCTTAGTCATCAAGGGGTTTGTTAGTACTCAGCCCAAATCCTATATAAAGAGTACATAAATAAGTATTGACTAAATCAATTGTCTGAGAGTATGGAGCAATTCGACAACTAAAACAAGGTTTATAGATCACGATTGCAGAGCTCTATTTTTAAGCTGAGACGACTTCATTCTATAGGCACTCAGTGAGAAATGACACTCATCCTTTCGGTAGCCTCAACTCCCAAGTGATATTTTATTATTAGCATTATTAGTAGTTGGACAATGATCCGAAGCTGAAATGTATGTGCTCGCCCGAAAATATGTTGTATGGATCATTGGTAGGCAAGAGGGCACGTGACGAAGGAACTACAGGTTTCTCTATGATTATGAATTGACCCAGTATAAATATGTTTGCATTTTAGAAGCAACAGGTGCTCTTGAGCTTTCAGCCTCTCACCCAATGTTGCAAGTCGACTGAATGGGATAGGGTTAAAACTTAAAACCCATGGGTACATACAAGGTGAGATGCTATGATTGCTATGAAATTCCCATCCAATACAGTGGAATAAAAATGTGGTTAAATACTTAAATGAACATAGGAAAGAGAACAAGATAACATGTACAAAGCAAAAGTCAAACTTTGTCTGAGTTAACCAGCACCCTGTAAATTAGGGAAGGTCATAGAAATTAGTAGTATTATGTACTAGCAATAACGGACGAAAGCAGCTACCCTTCGTCTGAACACTTCAATCTAGTAAAGTAACATCTGCATAGTAAGTATAATTTTAATTATATAATCAATAATCATTAGCCATTAAGTCAGTTCTCTCGAACCAAAAAAATACCCTTTCGTTTTCAGAAATAAGAAAGGAAAATAAAGAAAGAAAGAACAACATATAAGAGAGTTCGAGAACGATTCACATCATATTTTAAATACACATAATGCTAAAGATTAGGCCTTACCGAAGATACATGAGGGATTCGCCAAGGCCTATCAGAAGAACCACGAAGGTAAAGTAAGGTAACTCCAAAAACACATTTCGACATGAGTACAGGGCAACACCAGTCATCTCTATTCCCTACCTCTCATGAGAAAAAGGAAACAATAAGAGATAAAGCTTCAAACCTGAGAATCGCTTCCACTTTGTAAAATTTGGAATCAGGGAAATAACCTGTAAGTGAATAAAGAACGAGCGCGAGTGTTAGCAGCAGAAAGGACTCAATTTAAGTCATGGTGGATAAAGCGTTCATTCGTACCGAGGGAACTCTGGCCTCTGATTTTGGGAAGAACGGGAGCATTTCGTTTGTGGGTTAAGGCCACATTGCCATAGCGACGAGAGGATTGAGAATATCCGAAATACTTGGGAAATAAGCAGCAACGCGAACCTGCAAAAGCAAATTCAACCCCTCCGAGAAGTCTAGGGATGTGCGTTCTCGCGATCGTAGCCATAGTTTTCTCCACTGACTCAACTCACGCAGGCAGACAAGGAAACAAGCACTCTCAGCGTTTTATTGTTTTGTTATTTTAAAAAAGTTTCTTCTAGTCAATTAATCACCAGCTCAGTCATCCTCATACTATAAAATAAGCAAAGTTACATCAACGATCTTGCTGTGCATAACGAAACAAGCGGGCTTGGGCCGGAACATGATATTGAAAACGAAGGCTCAGCCCAATTATCAAAGACAGAGATATGACGGGTCACGGCCTCAGGGGGATGAAGTGAAATGGGAGCGGGGAAAGATAATCATTGAAGATGGCTGGGAAGGACGGCAATTTCGTGTACAGAATCAGTAAAGCAAGCGAGTGGGAAGAGTTGCAGAGGAATGGATCCGTTTTTGGTGGAGAGCTTGACAGGTCTTCTGGTTTCATCCATCTCAGCAAGCTCGATCAGGTTCTCCTTCTCTCATTTGTGTTTTGATTTGTTTGTTGAACAGTTGTTGTGCGTTAGTGTTAATCGATTTGTTTGATACATCGATGTACGGGAGTATTATACTTCGTTAGGCTCTTTGTTGTTGTTACTGATACTGGAATTGATTGCTAAATCTTCATCATGCGCGTGTGTGCAGGTTCTGTCAACACTGCAAAACTTCTTCTTAAAGACCGAAGAGGAACTATACCTGCTCCAGATTGATGCTAAAAAGGTTTGTACTCGATGCATCTGAGTGATGATCTATAGCTGTTTAAAGGCCCTGAAGCATTTTGTATGTTCCTTTTGCCAGTCTCTGGAAAACTAATACTTCGGAGGATAACACTAAATAGCTGCGCTGAAGTACCTTTCATAATTTAGTGACATATAGTCAAACATGCAAGTAAAATTACATTTCGCTACTGTTGTTTCCAAGAAGATGAAGCTTCTACTTGCAAAATGCTGCAAGATGAAAACGCCATATCGTGGCACAAATTCTATACATTTGCTTTAACACTTGAGTAGCTTGCAAAGTGTGAATAGGCTCACACTTGTCGAGAGATTAGAAGCAGGTTCAAATGATTATTTCATCACAAGATGTGTGGCATGAGGTTACAACCAATTTATGACAAAAACGGCACTCTTGTTAGTCTGGCCACCTTTTCTCTTGGTTATGATAGACACGCCTGGCATAACGTCACTGAACATTTTTGTTAATCTCGTTGTTGCAGCTGGGAGATGGTTTGGTATATGAAATTGTGGATGGTTCGAATAGCTTCCCTCATTTCTACGGCCCATCTCGAAGTTTTAGCCCTCTTCCTCTGGATGCGGTAACAAAAGCAGAGAAGCTGACTCTCTCTGATGGCCGTTTCAGTTGTAGTTTGCTAGAAGGTTAAAGCAAGGGGACCATTACCTGCGATTTTATTGTTTCCCTCAAGCTTCTTTGTATTGTGTAAGCGTGGGGCGCAAATCAAAATCTCTGCAACTAATAGGAATATTGTGTGGCTAAAAAAAAAAATAAAAAACAAAAAGAAGCTCCTCCCGTAAGAAAAGGTGTGGTGGATGACTCGAGCCTGTAAAATGCAGTCTAATTTGAATAAGCGAGCGTGAGAATTATGATGAATCTTTTGAGTGGATATTGGGAGTTTTTCATCCATTTTTCCCGAATAACAGATAGGTTACATTTCATTTGTTATTTGCAATTTTGCATTTGATCACAGTGGCTTTAATCTTCAATTTCTGAAATATATTTCCATTGTACCATCCTATTTGTTCTTCCATCTTCAATGCCTTGAGTACGCATTGTTGAGAAACGAGTCTTGAGGAACCGCAAGCTTTCCTTAATTTGTTGTGTGTGAACTACTGAAGGGCTCTCTTGTGGATGGGAAGGTCAACATCTACTCGCTTCATTTATAAATTTAAAATATTTTTTTATAAGTTGAATGTTAAAAAATATAAGATATTTTTAATTTTTTAAGATATAATTATTGCTTTTTTAAAAAAATATCCCTATTGATAATAATTTTATATTTATTGTAAGGTATTTAATAAGAATAAATATAAAAAAATAATATTAATTTAAAAATATGTAACTACTTTATTAAGAAGTAATATTTAATTTAAAATGTTTTACATTGTAAGGCAACACAGATTGAACAGACCTGAGAATGCTATAGTGATCCAAATTAATATCCCAATCTCGGTCTGCGACTGCATGAGAAGCAAAAAGGCCATTGCGATTGTTGAACGTTCAGCATCCGTTTTTGATAATTTTAAAATGATAATCGTGCGATTCCGCCTATCATAATAATTCAAACGGCAGTAACTTTAGCACTCTTAATTGGCATGAAGGATTGCATTAGATTCTTGTAGTAATCACACATCTCCCCCTACTCATGATAATCAACATGCTGACGTGTGAAATACAAGGGTGGTGGAATCAATATCAATATTTTATTTAAAATAAATGAGTAAGCATTGCTATTGTAGTATGTATTGATTCATTGATTGACATGACTGCTGAAAATCTCAAACTTAGGCTATCATCTTATCTGATGAAGCTGAAGTAACTTTTTTCCTTGCGGATGAAGTAATTATGTATTTTATCATAAAAAATAATATTGGAAAGCATGATGAGTAAGGGGGTGTATCATTGATTGATCCAGAAACACAAGCGGGGATAGCTCAATTGGGAGAGCGTAAGGTCGCGCGTTCGATCCACGCTCATCGCAAATTGTTTTGATATATTTTCTGATGTTCCGTTATGATGATGACCTTTCGTGATTATGTGGGGTCAAATCTATTATTATTATAATCAAGAAAAATCCTACTTTTAGTCTTTGTATTACTCAAGTTTTGACATGGGTAATTGCACTGCACTTAATTACACCTGTAATATTAATTCCTCCACTTTTAAAAAAATATTGATATGACACAAATAACATCAAGTGCGTGTTTATTTTTTAATTTATCAAAAATCAGTTTAATAAAAATTTATTTAATAAAAATTAATTTGATGAAAGTCAATTATTATAATAAAATTTATGTTTGGATATATTTTTTCAAAAATTAATTTGACAAATTAAAAGTTATTTGGATTAATAAAAATTTGTGCTTTTAAAATGTACTTTTGAATATGCAATGACTATAAAGGACATTAATTTATGATAATTTATTTTTTTTATTGTACAAATATAATATAGTAGAAATGTTTAAAAAATGTGAAATAAATTTAAAATAACATAAAATTTATTAGAATGTTAAATAATAAGAATAAAAAATATAAAATTTAATATTGCAAAAAATTTAACTTGTGGTCATTTACCGTTTTGCCCTCTTATTTGCATCAAAAAATTGAACTCATGTGTGTCATTTTCTCCTCATTTTCTTCTTCGATTTCTCTAGAACCCACCGACAGAGATAGAGCTCTAATCATCCTCCCACCCTCCGTCAGTTCCCTCTCCCTTCTCTATCATCACAGCGTCGCCAGTGAGGGCCTTAACTCTGCCATGGGCTTACTGTTGTTACTCTTCTTATGCCTCTTCAATGTTGTTTAGCTCATTCTCTCGGTTCCATCTTGTCTTCCCTATTCGTTATGCCGTTGCCGTATGGTGAGCTAAGTCGCCGGAGCTACAGGATTTTGCTAGCGAGTCTTTCCCTCCCTTATTCAGTCGCAAGCTTCATCTTCTTCATCCCTACACTGTGCTCACTGTAAACCACCAATGTTGAGGTACAGTTGTGAGTTTATTTTTCTCTACGGCTGTTGAGTTCTGATATGTCTTCTCCCTTCTCTGTTTGTGTCTTAGCATGGGATTTTCTCTCTGTCTTGTTGTTTCCATTGAGATAAGAAACCATGATTTCTTCTCCTTGAAAAAATAATGTCTGAGTGTAAGATGTCATATAGTTGAAGTTGCAATTCTTCTCTTGAATTTCTGCTGCTATTCGTGGCTATTAAAAAAATAGAAATTAAGCTGAAATTTATTTACTAAAAGCATAATTATGAAAAGTATGGAGTAAATTTTTTTAGCTATATTTGAGTCAAAGTCGGTTGCACGAGAAAAAGTAAAAAATAATGAGGGTATTATGGTCAATTGTAATATTAGGTACCACATATTAATGCCCACATGCCCACATTTATGTTTGAAAAGCTATAAAAGTGAGCTTCTGATTTTTTCAATTTCAGGCCATTCTAAAAATCCTTTTTTAAAGCACATTTCAGCTACAAAAATCATCCCAAACAACATTCTACATCCCAAAAGTAAAGAAACTACTTGTGGGATGTGAAACGTAAAATTTCCAAACGGTGCCTAATAATGCTGACATGTCAATTAATATTATTAATTTTATGCTTACATATCAAACTAATATTAATATGGATTTTTTAATAGGCGAAAAAATTAAAAATACAAGAGCTTACATCATGCGATTGACATGGACTCTCATGCCTAAGGTAAAAAGACTTGGACTCTCATGACATTAAAGAAGACTGTAGGACAACACTGAAGAAGACTATTAGGTAATGCCAAAGATAGTTGACAGTGATGAAGAATTGTGCAACGAAATGCCTCAAGTAAGGGTTCTAGGGTTTGAAGGAGGTCAGAGAGTACTTAGTCAACAAAAATGACTGACCTCAAGAAATAATGAGATTCACCTTTAGCCACTACATCTTGAAGATTAAGTGCTTATTTTTCGTAATAATTATCCTATAAGATGGAGACATAGGCTTCATCACTTAACCCCATGCCATAACATGTGCCTCTTAATAAAATGACCACCACGAATAATTCATTAAACCAAGTTCTCATTCTCTAATTAAAATCAACCATATGCTACTTGCAAGGCTCCAAAAGTGACGAGTGAAGAATATGGCATTTGAACCACAAGATATAAGCATGTGAGGCAGTGAGATCAAGCTATTAACTCATGCTAAGCTTAGTTCATAGGAACAAAAGCACAAATAAGTAGATGCCAAAATAATATAAGATGTCATGCCAAAATATGTGTATCCATTGATATAAACCAAGTCAAAATATTTGTGAAAAAAGGGACCTAATATGCTCATATATCCCATATTTCAATACACCAAGTCAAAATACAATTTTTACCATATAACTTGTCTTGGTACATAAAGTCATCCTAAAAAACAATTCAAGTCACATCTATAAAACCTATTGACGTCAAATCTCATGGACAAAACATGAAACAGAAAACAGTTGATGTCAAATCTCGTGTATAAAACATGAACCAAAAAACATCCCATATTTCTATAACTATAAGAAGTTTATATCTAAATCAAAGTTGACTGCTTCTTAGAAGAGTTACATTAATGGACTCTTGTGTGCAAGATGCTTTCTTTTTTATACTGTTGATGGGTAGCTTAGCATGCCTCTTCCTTTTTGCAAATTGCTTATTAGGATCCTTACGAGGCATTTGATTATGTCCCCACAACCTGAGCACTTAAGGCTTGTATTTTCTCTCCTTACCTTTGTTTTACATCCTCATCAGCCCCTCTTTTTCATTTCTTTTTTGGCCAACTAGGACGCCTATGGTGCACTGGGGGATTAATAGGGTCTCTTTCAGCTTTTTACCCATCTTGTCTCCATTAATAGGCTCTGTGATAAGTGAGTAACAAGTCACAAAAGCTTGCAAACTTAAGTAATGATCCACATACTTGTGTGAATCCTCCTTTTTGTTACATATACAAGCAACTGCATGTCTGCATCACTAATTCTCACTCTAAATTTGAATACTGTGTGAAGAGAGGAATAAAATAAATAAATAGATACATAGCCAAAGATGCTATAGAATACAATACGTGCAAAATAAGATAAGTATAGTTAAGCATACCTTCTGTTGGTTAGATATGTAACACTTGTCTTTTTCCTTACATATTTTCAATATCATTAAAGAGATTTTTTAAAAACCAGGTCTATAAGTCTCTATTCTCTCCCTTAACCACTGCCCAAGCTAAGGAAAAGTATTGGTCATTAGGATCACGTGTAATAGCCACAAGTAACATTCCTCCACATGGACCCTTCAAAAAATAGCCATTCAAACCAATAATAAGTCTGCCACTAGGGAAAAAAAACCATACTTCACAACACCTATGCACCCATATATTTTCTTATAACATATATGGCCTATCCATGTTACTATGTATGGTTTTTCAATTACTAAACAAAAAGTTATCTCTAAGTTACACTTGTTGTAAATTGTGCCTTAGGGCCAATTATTATACTATGCACATTATTATTTAATGAATTTCTCTTTTGTTATCATAACAATTACATGTTCAATATGATAAATGTATCAATGAACAAACTAAAGTGATTGTTCTAAATGTCCCTGGTCGATCATTTTTGAGGGATCATAGATGAAACAAGACTAGTATAATTTTGATTAATTATAGAGATATAAATTAAAGTTATGAGCATTTGAAAGAGTACGAGGTGTTGGACCGACTCGCTATGAGAAAGCTGCATGGTATAAGTCATAAGCTTATCTCATATGTAACTATATCACTAAGCCCTTTGACCTGAGATTATCATGGATTCCTACATTATGACTATTGAACTTTGACCTAGTTAAAAGTCACCTTTGATCGGTGATCATAAAGGCTATGATTGAACTTAGTGATATTCATGTAGAGGAATATGAGTGGTCAAGATGGAATTTGTCTCTCACATTAAGTGAGAGATATTACTAGGCCCCTTGATGAGTGAGACTGAAAAAATGTATGGCCATACTACAATAAAAAGGGTTTTTCTATTGCTACTGTTAGTCTACTCAGAGATCGAGGAACTAACAGTCAAGTAAAGGAGAATGACAATTTCATGTCTCGTACTTGATCGAAATATCGCGTAACAAA